GGCTGCCTGTGCCAGCTCCACGCTGCTCTGTGCCAGCGCCCGCTCCGGCCTCCACGTGCTGGGGCTGAGGGAGGGGGCAGAGCTGGCACTGGAGGAGGTGGCAGCATTCTGACCCTGGGAACCTGCCCAGAACCCTGCCAGGAGGGGATGAGACACCCCAGCAGCGAGCACCAGGAGATTTATACTCCAGGGCAACGCCAGCTTCACTGCAGAACATTCACCGTGTCCAAAATCTCATCCTAAGCCAGCTAGAAATGTGGGACCCTGCTGAATGGTGACCCGATGAGATACCCCTACAGGGACTCTTCTGCTGTGGGGTCGGGCTTCTCTGTTCTGCAGGTTTTTACCACAGCAGACAGGAATCAGACTGTGTGGTGAAGTACCTGTAATTTCTCCATTCCTCACTCACACCCCGAGGCACATTCAAAACGTGTTTTGGTTTTCCAGAACAAAACATTTGCAAAACCTCAATTGAAAGAATAAACACCAAATAGGAAATCTCCCCACAGTGTAAGTTATAACAGGACAAACCCACACTGGAAGAGCTGGTTGAGAGTGAAAACAGAATGAGGGGATCCAAGCCATGGATTTGAAAGCCCATGGGACTGCCTAAGGAGCCAAGACATGAGGTGGTACGTGGAAAAGGAAAACATCCCTGGCCCTTAACACCTAGTGTGAGTGAACACCAAGGGGGCACAGCCCTCCCCGTGCAGACTACCTTTGCAGAGGCAGGGGAACCAGGGCACTCCACCAACGCTGACTGCTGGGTTTCTTTCCTTAAATGGGAGTGAAGTCTGAAGCCACAGGCTCCTACCAAAGGCTCCTGGAAAATGGAAGGTAAGAAGGGGGTTAGCAGGGGCTGACCAACACGCCATGCCTGAGGTGTTGTGTGCCTGCCTATGGATGGTTGAGGCACACTGGAGAAAACCTGTGGGCCTGGCTTGGAAGGGAGGGTGGAAGCACATGGATCATCTCCAAATCACAGCAGAAACAAACCAAAGAAACATCACTCAAGACGTGACTCAAAACCACCTCCACCCAAGACCAGCCAGCGACTACAGCTGCCCTAACGCATGTCCCAGCAGCCAATTCCTTTTGTTTCTTTAATATAAAACAAGCAGTCCTGGCTCAAAGCCATGAACGTCTCCATTCCAGTCCCTCAGCAGCACCTTGGGGCTACTCTGCTGTCCACAGCTTGAAGGTCCTGTCGTAGGAGCAGGTGGCGATCAGCTGGCCGTCGAGGGAGATGTCCAGTCCCATCACCTTCCCCTCGTGGCCAGCCAGGGTCTTCAGAGGGGACCACCCGGGGTGGGTCCAGACCTTGGCAGTGTTGTCGTAGGCGCCGGTGAGCAGGAAGTTGCCGTGGTTGGCTGCAGCAGGGATGAGACAAAGGGAGAAGGCAGATTTGCAAACCCACCCCTGACCAGGCTCCTGCAGCTCGCCAGTACCGGCCCCCTCGACCTACAGCTGGGGTCCTGAGCTGCCCCGTCCCCTCTGCTGAGGGGGGGGACAGGGAGGAGGACATCAGGAGAGGTCCTTACGTTCGAACTTGACCCCGGTGACCAGGTTCTGGTGGGCAGGGATGGTGTAGATGCACTTCCTCTGGCGCAGGTCCCACACCTTGCACGTGTTGTCGCCGCTGCCCGTCGCCACGTGGTACCTGCCAGAGGGGGAACGTGCTGGGAGCTGGGCTTTGTGCACAGAGCCCCCACCTACCCCCTGCGAGGGCTTTCCTTACCCGTTTGGGGAGAAGTTAAGCCCATAGATCTCCTTCAGGTGGCCTTCCAGAAACATGATGCAGCGTCCCGTGCGCAGGTCCCACACCCGGCCGAAAGCGTCCAGCCCACTGCGGGGAGAGGAGCCGAGCGTTGCCCACCAGAGGCCCCAGGAGCTGCTCAACCCCCCCAGAAGTGCTGGGGAGCCTGGCACCAGTCAGCACCAAGCCTTGGTAGGTCCCACGCCCAGCCCTGGGGGCTGCAGCCTCACCCTGTGCCGGCGAGGGAGCCGTCGGTGTGGAAGGCGATGTCGTAGACCCCTTTGCTGTGCCCCTCCTGGTGCAGAATCTCCTCCTGAGCCTCCAGGTCCCACAGGCGCCACGAGTGATCGTAGCTGTGAAAACAACACCTTGGTCCAGCTGCACGTAGCTCTGAGGGGAGTAACGGGGTGTTTCACCAACCCTGGGGGGTTTATTTCCAGCTGGAGACCAGCAGGGTCTCCTGTCAGGGGCAGAGAAAGGAATTCCAGTGACTTAGAATCAAGAGAATGGTTTGGGTTGGAAGGGACCTTAAAGATCATCTAGTTCCAACGCCCCTGGCCACAGGCAGGGACACCTCCCACTAGGGCAGGTTGATCAGAACCCCCTACCACCTGGCATTCAA